GCTTCTGAACAATTTGAAGGCTTCCTCCAAAATTATTAGCAAGGGTGTTTCCCAAGAAAGAAGGAAATGGCAAAAGGTGCCTAACATTTTAGCTGCAAACAGCATGATTTCAGCAGAAGTGGAAAGCAACCTGATCCAAAAGTTGAACGAGTTCTTTCCTTTTTAAAAAAAAAAAAAAACCTATTTTACTATCAGAATCAAAATATAGCTGGAAGGGACCTTGGAGGTCTACTAGTCCAACCCCCTGCTCAAGCAGGAAGTCCTACACCATTCCAGTCTCTTCTTAAAGACCTCCAGTGTTGGAGCACCCACAATTTCTGGTAGCAAGCTGTTCCACTGGTTAATTGTCCTCACTGTTAGGAAGTTTCTCCTTAATTCCAGGTTGCTTCTCTCCTTGATTAGTTTCCATCCCTTGTTTCTCGTCCTGCCCTCTGGTGCTTTGGAGAATAACATGACCCCCCTCTTCCTTGTGGCAGCCCCTCAAATACTGGAATGCTGCTATCATGTCACCCCTATTCCTTCTTTTCTATAGACTAGCCAAACCCAAGTCCTGCAGCCATTCTTTATATGTTTTCATCTCCAGGCCTTTAATCATCTTAGTTGCTCTTCTCTGCACTTTTTCCAGAGTCTCAACATCTTTTTTTGTAATGTGACCAAAACTGGGTGCAGCATTCCAGGTGTGAGCTTACTAAGTCTTTATAAAGCGATGCTAATACTTCACATGATTTTGATTCTACGCCTCTGTTTATACAACCAAGGATTATATTAGCTTTTTTGGCTGCTGCCGCACACAGCTGGCTCAGGTTGAAGGGATCGTCCACTAGGACTCCAAGGTCCCTCTCCCAGTTACTGTTTTTGAGCCAGGTTCCACCTAAGTTGTACTTGTACCTTTGGGATTTCCTGCTCAGGTGTAAAATCTTGCTTTTCTCCACATTCAATTTCATGTTGTTGGATCGTTCAAGCCTGCCAAGATCTTTTTGGATTCTGAGCTTATCTTCTGGGGTGTGGGCTGTTCCTGCCAGCTTAGTGTCATCTACAATATATAACAACAACAACAACAATAATAAAGTTGGAAGGGACCTTGGAGGTCATCTAGCCCAACCCCCTGCTCAGGCAGGAAACCCTATACCATTTCAGACAAATGGCTGTCCAGTCTCTTCTTAAAAACTTCCAGTGTTGGAGCATTCACCGCTTCTGGAGGCAGGTGGTTCCACTGGTTAATTGTTCTCACTGTCAGGAAGTTTCTCCTTAGTTCTAGGTTGCTTCTCTCCTTGGTTAGTTTCCCTCCGTTGCTTCTTGTCCTGCCTTCATGCGCTTTAAATAAATAACTATAAATAACTAATATATAATAAATAAATATAGCATAAAATATAAATACATATAAATAAATAAAATAAAAATATTTTTTTTTAAAAAAGAAATGAACAAACAACATAACTGAATGGCCAGATTTGATGGAGTTCTGGTTTTTTTTTTTTCCTGCCCCCTGTTTTCGATGTCTCTGTGTTTCTAATTTTCAGACATGGCAAAATTGACTTGTTTAATTAGGAAATAATACAATGACGGTAGTATATTTATTAGTGACGATATACCCTTTATGGACCTTTTACTGAAAATGGGAGGGGGGAAAGGGGAAAATGATAGGATGTTTTTTATGGATTCGGTAATTAGAAAGGATAAAACATGAAGAAGGGGATTTGGATGTCACCTTAAATAGGGAGGGCAGACAATAAATTTATTTGTAAGTGCCGCAATCGGAAGCTGCCGCTTTGCACTTTTTTTTTCTCTTTTCTTTATCTAAGCACAAAGATGCTTTTTTTCCCCCCAAAAGGCAACTGGACTTCCTTGCTTATGACCAGAATAGTTGAAAATCTCCGTAGACATTGATCTAGTCAACACTTTGCTGTAGATTTTTTCTTTCTTTTTTTAAAAAAAAAAAAAAAAAAGCTAATTTAGACATAAAGTGACCTTGGGGTTGCTTGCATAGCAAGAAGCACAAACTGAAGAAATGGGTCAGTTCAAGGACCCCAGTGGAAATTAGTTGACTAAGGATGCCTTGGGGGGGGTCGCTTCCCTCCTGCCCCACTTCTTCATGGGATGCCCCATGTAGCTTCTAAGGTTGCCCAAGACAGGAGAGATCTGGGCTGCCTTCTCTCGTGCGAAGCAACTGTGCCCTCCTGTGCTCACAACTGCAAATCACACCTTTTTTTTCTTGTGTCAGCATCAAGACGTTTTGTTGAAGCATTAATATTTCTTTTAATTGTATTTTAAAATGGTGTTTGTAAGGTCTTTATCTGTTTTTAGCTTGCTGTAAGCCGCCCTGGGTCCGCCAGGAGAAGGGCGGGGTATAAATCTAATAAAATCTAAATCTAAATCTAAATCTAAATCAGCCATAGAAGGTTATTTCAGTGTGTGATCAGAACAGTGACGTCAGGGGTAGGCAACTTTGGCTCTTTTATGACTCGTGGACTTCAACTCCCAGAATTCCTGAGCCAGCATGGCTCAGCTTAGAAATTCTCCCTTTTCCCTCAGCATGGCTGGCTCAGGAATTCTGGGAGTTGGAGTTCCCGAGTCATGAAGGGGCCATAGTTCCCCCATGCTGGCTCAGGAATTCTGGGAGTTGGAGTCCACAAGTCATGAAGGGGCCATAGTTCCCCCATGCTGGCTCAGGAATTCTGGGAGTTGAAGTCCCAAGTCATGAAGGGGCCAAAGATTCCCCCATGCTGGCTGAGGAATTCTGGGAGTTGAAGTCCACCAGTCATGAAGGGGCCATAGTTCCCCCATGTTGGCTGAGGAATTCTGGGAGTTGAAGTCCACCAGTCATAAAAGAGCCAAGGTTGCCTACCCCTGTAATGAAGGAGAGTATTTTGTAGCTTAGGGTTGAAATGAGCGGGTCCTCAGTGCTTCTCTGAGCTTGGTGGTTTTCTTGCAGACGTTTCATGGCCCAACTAGGGAATGTCCTCAGTGTTAGTGGCTAGCAGGACTAGCACTGATGATGTTACCTAGTTTGGGTAATGTCTGCTAGAAAACAACCCTGCACAGAAAACACCAAGGATCCCACAGTTCTCCTCCTTCTCCTTCTCTACCACCAGTTTCCTTCTCCCCTTCCTTCTCATTCCCAAGCTCAGAGAGCATCAAGAACCCCACATACGTATGTATGTTTGTGTGTATGTATATATGCCCATATTTAGATACCATCAGTTCTCCTCCTCCTCCTTCTCCTTTTTCTGGCATTGATGGTGTTCCCTAGTTGCAAGAAAACCACCAAGCTCAGAGAGCACAAAGGACTCCATAGTCTTCCTCCTCCTTCTCCTTTTCTACCACCAGTCTTATTTCTCTTCCTCCTCCTCCTCCTCACATTGATGATGTTCCCTAGTTGGGTAATGAAACGTCTGCAAGAAAACCACTAAGTTCAGAGCACCAAGGTCCCCATAGTTGTCCTTCTCTACCACCAATTCTCCTCCTCCTCCTCCTCCTTGCATTGATCATGTTCCCTAGTTGGGTAATGAAACGTCTGCAAGAAAACTACCAACCTCAGAGCACCAAGGAACCCATAGCTCTCCTTCTCTACCACCAATTCTCCTCCTCCTCCTCCACCTCCTCCTCTCCCTCCTCCTCCTCCTCCTCCCATGGATGATGTTCCCTAGTTGGGTCATGAAATGTCTGCAAGAAAACCACTAAGCTCAGAGCACCAAGGACCCCATAGTTCTCCTTCTCTACCACCAATTCTTCTCCTCCTCCTCCTCCTCCTCCTCCTCCTCCTCCTCCCAAGGATGATGTTCCCTAGTTGGGTAATGAAACGTCTGCAAGAAAACCACCAAGCTCAGAGAGCACCAAGGACCCCTCAGATTACTGTATGCACAAAGATGGGAAGATTCAACACTACGCACTAGGAAGGAATGCTGGCAAAGCTGACAGATTTTGCTGAGATGGATCAATTTGACTTCTTAAGTCAGAGAAAAGAATAACAGAATGACAGAGTTGGAAGAGACCTTAGAGGTCTTCTAGTCCAACCCCCTGCTCAAGCAGGAGACCCTATTCCGGCCACATGGCTGTCCAATCTTCTTCTTAAAAACCTCCAACTTCTGGAGGCAAGTCGTTCCACTGATTAATTGCTCTCAAACACATACGCACACACATACATACATATGTGCATATTTACACACACACACACATACATATGTACCAGTTTGTGTTGTAGTTAAGACACCTGGCTAGAAACCTGGAGATTGTGAATTTTAGTCCCGATTTAGGCATAAAGCTGAATGACATTTTCTTTCAGCCTTAGGAAGCAACGGCAAATCACTTCCAAAAATCTTGCCAGAAAAACTACAGGGTACATAACCTAGAGTCACACACTATCTCAGTTAGCCTGGCTTAAAAATCTTTTAAAAATTAATGATAAAATAAAATAATAAAATAAAATAAATACAATACAATAATAATAAAATAATAAAATGCTGGACTAGCCAGGTGTTGTGGAGATGATAACACAGCATGTTGAAAATTCATGGATGGGGAAAAAGAATGCAGCGGGGCAATTCTCCTTATACCCCATTGTCAGAATCACTTAGATGATTATACAAATTGAATGATTTTTTTAAAAAAATCTCTGACAAAGGAGCTTCACAGGTATACTGCAGCTGCACATGGAAGCTCTACCAGTTTACTCTTCATTCCCAAAAGCAGAGGTCAAATTATTGTTGTTGATTGTGAGTGTTGTTCATAAGGCTGAATATTGTTACTATATTATCTCAACTCCCAATTAAACTATTTTCAACCTCAGCCTACATTTCCCAAAATCCACTGGTACATCTCCCCCCCAACCCAAAACAGCTCGACCAATGGGAAGCAGCGAACAATCATGGACGCCTACCCGCGCCAGAGAGCAGCCGGCTCGCAAAAGAACGTCAACTACGTTTCCCAGCGTGGCTCGCGGCTCTTTCCGCCCACGTGACGCCAGCTGGCCAATGACGAGCGGGAGAGCGGCCCTATAATCCTCTGCGCCGGCGGAAGCCACTTCTTTTTCGCCAGAGCGGCGCGGCTCAAGATGGCGGTACAGATCTCCAAGAAGCGAAAGGTGAGGCTCTTCGGGGCCCTGCCGAGCCTATGGCGGGGCGGCGGGGGAAGAAATACGGCCAAGAGAAGACGTGGCGGGTCGAGCGGCGAGGCGGCCCGGCGAGGCGGGCTGCGACGATGGCGGGAGCCTCGGATGGGAGTGGATTGGGGCTGAGCCCCCTTCATCCCTCCGCTGCTCCGGCCCAAATCCTATCGGTAGTTAGGTCTGGCTGGGCCAAGAAGACAGCGAGACCGCGGCTAGACGGGCCCGGAAGCTGCCCTAAAGCTTTATATATTAGCACGTGCTTCTGCTTAAGTAATATTATATGAATGCAGCATGGGGCATGTTTTCCTCCACAACAGCCCTGCGAGGTAGGTTGGCTGGTTTGTTAGAGAGGGGCTGGATCTGGTCCTCCCACCCAGCTTCAACCACAGCCTTGGGAGGGAGGCTGGGCGGAGAAAGAGAGGCCCAGAGACACTTTGGGGGGGGGGGGAGCGTCTAAAACCCAGGATAGACTGGGGAATGCTGGGAATTGGAGTCCACACATTTTAAGATTGAAAAAACAATCTTAGGGCAGGGGTAGGCAACCTTGGCTCTTTTATGACTCGTGGAATTCTGGGAGTTGAAGTCCACGAGTCATAAAAGAGCCAAGGTTGCCTACCCGTTTTAGGGGTTCAAGGGAATGTCTATCGCGGGGGTCTTCAAACCTGGCCCATTTATGACTTGTGGACTTCAACTCCCAGAATTCCTCAGCCAGGCACGCTAGCTGAGGAATTCTGGGAGTTGAGGTCCACAAGTCATAAAAGGCCCAAGTTTGGAGACCCCTGACTTAGCCACTTCTTCGTTTAATGATCAAGTAGCCAGCCCCAATTGTAGTCACTAAATGAGGACTATCTGTATGCTGTTTATATGCTACTATTAGATGTGATGTGATTTTATTGTCTTTGAGATTATAGATCAGGGGTCTTCAAACTTGGCCCTTCGATGACTTGTGGACTTCAACTCCCACAATTCCTCAGCCAGGCATGCTGGCTGAAGAATTCTGGGAGTTGAAGTCCACAAGTCATCAAAGGGCCAAGTTTGAAGACCCCCGTTCTATAGTAACCTTCCCTTCCCCCCAATCCTGTGAAGTGGGCTGGGCTGAGACCACCAGGCCGAAATCCCCCAGATTTGCTTAATGCCTGTATGATTCACTTAACGTTAGTATTGGTTTGCTTAACAGAAGTCATAAAATTGGGCACAACTCGGTTAAATAATCGCTTTGCTAGCAATGGAAATTCTAGTCTCAAGTTATGGTAAGTTGATGACTTAACTATAGGTAGTCCTCGACTTAATGACCACAATTGACCCCTAGAGTTTAGGTTGCTAAGTTAAGACAAGTGAGCTTTTCCCCATTTTACTATGTTTCTTCCCACTGTCCTTAAGTGAATCACTGCAGCTGATAAATTAGTCACACGGTTGGGAAGTCAATCTGGCTTCCCCCGTTGACTTTGCTTGTCGGGAGGTCGCAAAAGGGGATGACGTGACCCCTGGGACCGTCATATCTATGAACCAGTTGTCAAGCATTTGAATGTAAATTGCATGATCGTGGGGATGCTGCAACGGTCGTAAGTGTGAAAAAAGGGTCATAAATCGCTTTTTTTTCCAGTGGCGCGGTAACTTCAGATAGTCACTAAATGAACTGTTGTAAGTTGAGGACAGCCCGTACTTTTAATTGCTGGGAGTGGATCTAGGGGCCTCAGGTATTAAGTATTGTGACTCTCCCATTTCCAAACTCGCAGCTTGCATTTCTGGCCAGCTGTTGTGGGCTGCATTCCGATAGGATAGGATTAGAATAGAATAGAGATTAGGAACAGAACAGAATAGAAATAAGAATTAGAGTAGAATAGAATAAAATAGAGAATAGATCACGTGAAGTATTAATACCACTTTACAAGGCCTTAGTAAGGCCACACTTGGAATCCTGCATCCAGTTTTGGTCACCACGATGTAAAAAAGATGCTGAGAACTCTAGAAAGAGTACAGAGAAGAGCAACAAAGATGATCAGGGGACTGGAGGCTAAAGCATATGAGGAACGGTTGCTGGAATTGGGTATGTCTAGTTTAATGAAGAGAAGGACGAGGGGGGACATGATAGCAGTCTTCCAGTATCTCAGGGCTGCCCCAAAGAAGAGGGAGTCAAGCTCTTCTCCAAGGCGCCTGAAGGCAGGACAAGAAGCAATGGATGGAAACTAACCAAAGAGAGAAGCAACCTGGAACTAAGGAGAAACTTCCTGACAGTTAGAACAATTAACCAGTGGAACAACCTGCCTCCAGAAGCGGTGAATGCTCCAACACTGGAAGTTTTTAAGAAGAGACTGGATAGCCATTTGTCCGAAATGGTATAGGGTTTCCTGCCTGAGCAGGGGGTTGGACTAGATGAGCTCTAAGGTCCCTTCCAACTTTATCATTATTATTATTATTATTATAGAATAGAGTAAAATATAGAATAGAGAATAGAATAGAGATTAGGAACAGATCAGAATAGAAATAAGAATTAGAATAGGACTATGAATACAGAATAGAATACACCCTTCTCCCTTAGTCTTCAGCAAAGACGCAACTGTGGCATCTAGTGGACGTGTCCGTGGCCTCGATCTGTGCTTCAGGCAGCACGGAGCCGTCCTTGGCTGCCTGCTTTGGAGCCCAAAAGAATCCCTTCGGTGATGATACGATGACGAGTCAGAAGAGACCCTCCCTTCCGCCCAGGCCGAGCAATGCCGCGCCACGTTCTGTGGCTCTGTGTTGGTGGCTTTGGCAAAGGGTGGGGGGGTCCGGTCATTGGATGAACTTGAGGCATTTGTCTGAGAAGGGAAGCTTTTGAAAAGGCTCTTGTCCTTAATACTGAAATTTAACTAGTTGATTTTTATTAATGTTTTTGGAAAGAACCACCTGGGAATAGAATTAGAACTAATAGGATAGGATAGATTGATAGAATAGATTATAGATGCAGAATCACTCATAGAATCGAATAATGGAATAGAATAGAAAATATAGAATGGAATAATGGGAAAGAATTAGAACAGAATAGAAAATATGGAATAGAATAGAATATGAAATAATTATAATAGAATAGAAAACATAGAACAGAATAATAGGAAAGAATTAGAATAGAATAGAAAATATGGAATGGAATAGAATAATAGGAAAGAATTAGAATAGAATAGAAAATATGGAATAGAATAATAGGAAAGAAGTAGAATAGAATAGAAAATATAGAATAATAGGAAACAGAATAGAATAGAATAGAAAATATGGAATGGAATAGAAAATATGGAATGGAATAGAATAATAGGAAACAATTAGAATAGAATAGAAAATATGGAATAGAATAGAAAATATAGAATAGAATAACTTTATTGTCACTTTGTACACTCATCGGCATGCATTAAAATGAAATTTCATTGCATTCGGCTCTCAAAGGGTCACCACCTCCAATAGGCACTACATCAATATGACATAAATAAATAACAGAATTATGCATACACCCACATATATGACACAGAAACAACAGTCTAGTTCGAGTTATGTATCCATGGTGCATGGTGAGAAAAACGAATCTTGCGAGTCTACCAGACGGAGGGCAGAGAGAACCAAACCGTTACAGAATCGGGCAGTCCTGCTTTTGTCGCTCTCATTGAGAAGGTCTGCAAGGTAATCTTGGCGTCTCACCGTTTGCTTTTTCCGTTTCAGTTCGTGGCCGACGGTATCTTCAAAGCTGAACTGAACGAGTTTTTGACTCGGGAGCTGGCCGAAGATGGCTACTCTGGGGTGGAGGTCCGAGTTACCCCAACCAGGACCGAGATCATCATCCTTGCCACCAGGTAGGAGGAGCTGCTTTCGTTCTTATTCTGGTTATTGATCTATTAGTGGAGAGGACCCTGTGTCCCAAATCTTACATTTATTTTGAAGTAAGTAGTCTTAAATATAATCGCCTCTGAACTATGCTAGGCTGGGTAAAGTTACTACATGGGTAAGTCTAGATGTACCCATCACCACCCAGGCTGAAATCTTTTTTGAGTTTCTGGGTGGTCTTCAGATCAGGGCTCTGCAGTGTGCTTTCTAACTAACAACTTTTATTAAAAGCCACAAGTTATCCGCCCCACAAAAACATCTGCCTTGTAATAAAATTATACTCAGAAAAGGTGCCACTGGATACGAGCTTGTTTGCCACTGCAGACTTACCAGTCTCTGCCTACAGCGGATGGTCTTTAGCCAGTCCATTGCAGTAGTCCAGTCATGAAGATGCCAAGGATATTGAGTGTCTGTGTGCAAGCTCACTTAGTCCAAGAAAGTTCACAACTAGTGCACAAGACATTGTACGAGATTCCCCTGGGCTGCTGAAAAATCAAAAGCAGCCTCTTCAATTTCAAAATAGAGGTGGAAGGGACCTTGGAGGTCTTCTAGTCCAACCCCCTGCGCAAGCAGGAGATCCTATACCACTTCAGACAAGTGGCTGTCCAGTCTCTTCTTAAAAGTTTCCAGTGATGGAGCACCCACAACTTCTGGAGGCAGGCTGTTCCACTGGTTAATTGTTTTCACTGTTAGGAAATTTCTCCTTAATTCCAGGTTGCTTCTCTCTTTGATCAGTTTCCAACCATTGTTGTCCTTCCCTCTGGTGCTTTGGAGAACAGGTTGACCCCTCTCTTCTTTGTGGCAGCCTCTCAAATGCTATCATGTCCCCCCTAGTCCTCCTTAGTCCATTTCCATTGAGGAGTTGCAATGCAAATCTTTTAATGCAGACATCATATGATCTTTCTCCCTGCAGTAGTTAGTAGCTGAGGTGCTCCGTTTTTCACTTCGTGTTAGTCCTGAACAGTCTTAAAGGATCACAGGTGTTTGTAGGAGTCTCTGGCTTGTGAGCTTAGCGCTCTATAAATTAGGTAGGTAGGTAGATTAGATAGATAGATGGATGGATAGATGATGGATGGATGGATGGATGGATGGATGGATGGATGGATGGATGGATAGAGAGAGACAGACAGACAGACAGACAGATAGATAGATAGATAGATAGATAGATAGATAGATAGATAGATAGATAGATAGAAGATAGATGAGATAGAAAGACAGATATATATATATATATATATAGAGAGAGAGAGAGAGACAGAGACAGAGACAGAGACAGAGATGGATGGATGTAGATAGATAAATAGGAGAGAGAGATGTAGTTCTTGATTTATAACTGGTCATTTAGCGAATGTTTAAATATACAAAGGACACTCAGTCACATAACTCTACTGTGATTTTTGCTTAAAACCAGCATTTACTTCGGGGTTTGGGCAGAAACACCCCCTAGTGAACAATGGACTTGCTTAACGATCGTTGCAAAAAGTCAAAATTGTGATGTGATGACCCGCTTGACGACCACAGTAGGCCATAGTACGACCAGGATGGTCGTAAATTGAGGACTACTTATAGGTACATAAAACGGGTAGCTCTAGTCCGAGAGAGAGTGTAAGTGTGGCGTAAGTAATTTTAGATGCACACAAGTTGTTGGAATAGAGTAGAAGAACTTGTGGACTCCTGAGAGAGAAGAGTTGGATCAAATCAGATGATCCTTCCAGTGGGAGTTCAATGCAGGCTCGATTTAAAAAAAAAAAAAAAAAATATTGGGGAATTTTTCAAAGTCCTTCTGGTGGGACTGACCTAATGCCATATATCTTTGCCTTTGCCATTCAGAACTCAGAACGTTCTCGGAGAGAAAGGACGTCGGATTCGCGAGCTGACGGCCGTCGTTCAGAAGCGGTTTGGCTTTCCGGAGGCTAGCGTGGAGGTAATAATGGTGGCGCCCGGGCTGGCTGGGGAATTCTGGGAGTTGAACACTCCACCCGTTCTTAAAACTTGCCAAATGCGTGGAAAAGCTTGCCTTCAGTGACGATAACGATGAGTTCAGAAATGGACGCTCTCTTGCTCAGAGCAAACAGCCTGGGCCACATTCAGTGGTGCTTTGCTGGTTGACTCTGACGAGGGTGCCCTGTTCACTGGATGATCTGAGCGTGGATGATCTGAGAAGGGAGTGCCGAGAAGCAGAATTTCTCACTTGAATTTAAAAGTCCCAAAGGTGCTTTTCCAGCAGGCAACTAGACTTTGAAGACCTTTCACTTCTCATCCCAGAAGCTTCATCAGCTCTGACTGGATGGTGGGGGAAATGGAAGGATTTATACTCCTTGCAGAGAGCTGGTCATATTCCCTACATTTTTTTTGTGTATAGGTTTTATTAGTTTTTATAGGGTTAGGAATAAGATGGGGTCAGAGTTGGGGTTGGGGTAACATTTTCAATAAGTCCCTTTTTTCAACGCCGTTGTATAACGGTCACTAAACAAATCGTTGTTAAGTCGAGGACTACCTGGATTTCTCCCCCTCCCCTGCCACGCTCCACTTGGTTTACAACTCAGTGTAACTTTGGAGCAGCGACTCAAGGAAGCAACAGGCAGATGCCTCTCAAGAAAACGGCAGCAACCAAAAGCTGGCAACAGTAGAGAAGGCCACACGCCAGTGGCAAAGTACATGCCAGTTTCAATGCTTTGTACTTCAACTAGAAAAGGATTAAGAAAGGGGCAAATATCTCACCCCCAACTTCTCTTTTTTGGTATAGATTTTATTAGTTTTTATAAGGTGGGGTCGGGATTAGGGTTTTTCCAAATAACATTTTCAATATTTAGCAAACAGCAAAATATCTGGGTACAGTCTATCTAGACCCATACCAGTCGGGCTTCAGGCCGGGACACAGCACGGAAACGGCATTGGTCGCGTTGGTCAATGATCTCTGGAGGGCCGGGGACAGGGGGTATTCCTCTGTCCTTGTTCTTTTGGACCTCTCAGCGGCTTTTGATACTGTAGACCACGGTATCATGCTGCGGCGTCTCGGTGGGTTAGGAGTGGGGGGCACCGTTATGCGGTGGTTCTCCTCCTTCCTCACCGACCGTACGCAGTCTGTATTGGCAGGGGGACAGAGGTCGACTCCTAGACCCCTCACTTGTGGGGTGCCCCAGGGGTCGGTCCTCTTCCCCCTCTTGTTCAATATTTATGTAAAGCCGCTGGGAGAGATCATTCGTGGCTTTGGGGTGGATTTCCATCAGTACGCTGACGATACGCAGCTGTACATTTCCACCCCAGGCCACCCCAACGATGCCCTTGACGTGATGGCCCGTTGCCTGGAGGCCGTACGGGTCTGGATGGGGAGGAACA